TACTTGTTAGGAATTCGTTATCTCATCGTAAACAACATTCCTTATCTTCGGCGCAAGAGGAACTGCGTCTGACCAATTTCGCGTAACCTTTATGCCGTGGCTAGTCGTACATCTCGACAATGCAACATATGTGCTGCCATGTGCAAATGATGGTGTACGCAAAATTACACCAACTTTGTCGAAGGTCTGTCCTTGACTTTTATTTATAGTCATGCAAAAAGCTAATCTAATAGGAAACTGGAGTCTACGAAAAGAAATGCCAGTCTTTTCATTCGTGTAATCAAGGTTCATTCTTTGTATGAATGCAATTTTACCATTGATTAGATTCTTGCATACAAGAAGCTTTCCGTCGTTCAAAATCGAAAGCAGAATAAGCCTCGTACCGTTGCACAATTGTGCTGTCACATCTAGATTTCTCAGTAGCATAATTATTGATCCAATCTTGATACGAAGTGAATGTGGTGGCAGCGCTGCTGGCATTAACTTATGAAAGTACTCTTCATTGTCACATGGGAGCCCACTTAAGCCATCCTCTTCCACGGAGGGTGTATCAATCCCGGTCAAGTACAGGGCCGTCCCAGGAAGTTTTTTCAAGACTTTGATGTTCAATTCTTCGACATCGCAGTTGCGTACAGTCAACAGCGCAACCTTCGCGAGCATGGAGGAATCGGCCAGTACCTCAGGTGTGTAAATCCAGTTAATGATGTCATCTTCGTTAGTCATGCACATACTTAATGGCAACAAAATATTTTCATCGTCGCAGTAGTTCTTCCCGGCGCCCACGAAAAGAAGCCATCGTGCATAGTCTATCTCGCTTTTATCTAGCCTAAGATTTTCATCGAGCATAAAAGTAATGAAGTGCTTCCAAAGATGACTGCTTTTGCAAGTGGTATCTAGTGTTTCTTGTCTTGTACCACCTTGTATAACTGGCAGGAACTGGCACCAATCTCCTCCTAGAATAATAGTAACTCCTCCAAAAAGAGCATGAGCCAAAGAAGGAGCAGCAACATCTCGCAAAAGTCGCTCGACACACTCCAAAGCATAGCGAGACTGCATTGAAATCTCGTCCCATACAATTACATCAACTGCGTTCAACTCTTGGCCAATCCTCGATGAAGCTTCAACATTAGCGGTTGAATAACCATGAAGCCGTTTTATTGGAAGGCAAAAAAGACTATGTGCCGTTCTTCCATGTTTCAATAATGTAGCGGCTATGCCAGTGGAAGCTGTTGATAGTACTTTTTTGCCATCCGCTTCCAGTAGTTGAATCAAAGCGTTGAGTGTATATGTTTTACCGCATCCTGCTTTCCCGTCGATATAGTAAAGCTTGTTACCTTGACCCTTAGGTAGTCTGGCAGCAGTAATAATGGCATTCACAATACGCTCTTGTGCAGGTGTCAAAGAGATCTCGTCGATGTTTGTGTGCATACCAATTTCTGGGCTTAGTCTATCGAGGGCATTTCCGCAAATATTAAGTAAGGCATCCTTGATACTGTCTAGTCCGCAATTTTCCAAGGATGAACCGTTGTTGACCAAGATGTTCTCAATATGATTAATTGAGAGCATATCAAGCATATCATCTGACTCTGGACAACTTTGGCGTTGACTTCTCATTACACTTTTGGATGAACTCCACAAATGCACGGGATTAGTTGGATGACAATACAAAAGTATCTGAGCAAATAGTGAACGTATCGCGGATGGCATCTTTGTCTCAGCAGCACTCTTCAAACAGTCCTCCCATTCTGTTTCCGTTTCGATTAAACCCGCTGCAACTGCAGCTTCCATGAAAGTATCGTAAACGATACCATTGATTGTTCGGAGATTTTCGTATGATGATGCACCGCGGACATGATAGAGAAGTTTACGCAGCGCATACAGCTCGCTCAACTTGGGATTCACAGGCCAGAGGCGAGCCACACGACGGCATCCTCTTTTGTAACGCACATATTCCTTGCCGTTAAACCAATACTGCTCCGCTACTTCAATCCAAGTCATTTGCTTAGCATGTTCATCATTGTTAACCAGGTTGAAGTATGCTAGTAGTCGACTTGTTGGCATTATTTTTCGTGCTACAGTGCCTTTGAAGTACACAGGCTGCTGATTTGGAAGATGGGCAGACAAAGAGATCACTGTGTGCATAGTATACTGCATAGGAAAACGCAGCAATCGATATGCAGCTTCGATATGTGGCAGATAACGGGACTCCAAAAAAACTTTTCGCATGTCTACATCCACGGAACTATCACGATTCTGTTCAACTCCTGCACGATGTCTCAATGGTTGGTCTTGTTGAAGCAATTCATAAATAATCTGGTCGGGTCCTTTGTAAATATACTTGAAAATATATTTGAAAGCCATGATCGAACAACAACACTCTACGTTGATATGGCATTCAAATTTACTGACGAGATATGCATTATAGGGAATGACGTCCTCATTAGAAGCCACCATAACAATCTTCTTTCCCACCGGTGCTTTTTTACCATCATTTCTTCTTCGGTAAAGCGGATAGCCATCATCAGTAAGCTCAGTTTCTTCTCGAAATGGCTTCGGAAAGTGTTTTTCACAGAAATTCGGGTTCTTTGATCTACACGCATAATCTGGACGAGACTGGCAAGGACGATGTACCATAAATTTAGCAACTAGGTTGAAAAGGCGCAGCTTCACTGCAGCATCTGGATCATTGGCATTGGGATACTCGGGCAATTCTGCTGATATGAACTCATCAATTTTTCGTGGAGTATTCAGCTTCTCTCGCAGAGTAACAAGTATGTGCGCATGTGGCATTCCTCTTTTCTGATATTCCACGCTGTACTGTAATGCAATCACTTCTCCAAACAATCGTTTGTCAACAATCTCCTTAATAAGATTCTGCAGGCGTAATCTAAACACCCGAGCGCAAAGAAGAGGATCAGTGATCCAAGAATCAAATGGTGTCACCAAGTTTTCGCGAATTTCTGGCCAGTCCTGATTACCCGTGAAGGTAATAAAAAGATCCGGTTTGCCTATGCGTTGTGCAACTGCCATAGCGTTGTGGTACAGTTGGTCATACCATGATGTACTGCCAACAAAGTTACGCGGCAAATTGATGAGTTTTCCTAATTTCAATCCTTTTTCCTGCAGCTGTTGATCCAAGTAGGTATATAGTGCAGTAACTCTGCAACTTCTTAGTTCCAGCGTGTTTCGTCCTATAGCGGAAAGACGATCAGCTTCTATCCTCGTGAAAACATGGATTACAAACTGAGACAGCAGCTTCCCACTACCAAAAAACCGGTGATGCAATAAATCCCCTCGACGAGAAAGCACAAAGCGATAAAAGTCTCCACGCGACAGAAATTTGCAAGACGGTTTTTTAGCATCATCTTCGGCATCTTCGTCCCAGATATGGTCTTCGTTTTTTTTCTCTGTTTCGCATTTCGTAACAAAACTTCCAGAAGCAGAACGTTTTCTGTGCAATTTTGGTAAGCTTTCACGAACAAAGCTCTGCTCTCCTTTGGGGAAATAAAGAGGGTATATCATAGCATCAATATTATTGTTGTGATGAGCAGCAATCGTCCTTCCTCCTCGACTATAAATCCTCAAACCGTTAACGAGTTCTTCCTCAGAAGGGAAAACACCATTGCGACAAAGGTATATTGCTGCTATCTGATTTTCTACTTGTGGAACATTTAAGCGCCCATCATGAATAGTGGGTGGCGCAACATCCGGTGCTTCACGCCTGTGTTTCAAGTTCATCAGGACCTTTGGTGGAATATCATCATCGCTCACACCCCGTGCCTTCATTTCAGCGAGATATACTTCATACATCGATTTATATGATTTCGCGATCACATTACTCTCCCTGAGCGTGGTGATGGTCTTTTCAACAAGTCCGTAATCGATTTTCATTTTCCATTCACGTATTGTTTCATTGACCGATTGTTTTGATTTATAATCATCACATATATACAGTTGAGCGAACGATGCTTTAGCCGAATCTGGATTGAGATGACAAATCCCTACGTCCACTGATCCTTGGACGACCAGTGGTAATTGGCCACTCGTCGTAGCAAATTCTCGTATGTTCATGCTTAGGCTAGCAAAAGCAACAAGATTATTGAGAGCGCGGAACATATAATAAAGTCTCTCATTTGTACGTGCTTCCACCCATAACCATTCCAAACAAGAATCTCTCTTTTGCGGGAAAATATGGTCAGGGACGATAGTAACTCCATCATTGCAACATATCGACGTTGACTCCCCACGAAACAACGCAGCAGAGCATTGTTGACAAATCACATCCATGGGCCCCAAATGAAGTCCGTTTACTATCGGTGAAGACTCAGAAGACTTCTTAACAGCTACAGGAAGTGTAGCGATTGCATTCATATCATTGACATCAGTTTTGGAGATTTTAACATGTTTTCCAAATAAAACGTCGTAAACATGAGCTACGTGCGTATGAATCGCAGCCATAGAGTGCTTTATAGTCTGGGAAAATGATCTAAGAGAGCACGTGATATGATAGCTTACAGCGGCGCAAAATTCGCCTTTATACAATTGAAATGTAGCGCTAAATGGGATAACAAAGGTGCAGTTAACATATCCGTAAAATTTGATTACACGCTCCAGAAATGACTTTGTTTTACTACTTAATGAAGCCGATGAAAAATCAAAAACAACACAAAGGCTAACACCCTGGCGCCTTCTTGCAACAGCGCCACAAAAGTCTCCATATTCGTTGATGTACAAGACGACTAATGTGGTCGAATCTGCTTTCTGATCATTCTTGAGTCCGAAATCCGCAGAAAATCCATTTGTTCTAATTGTATCCACTAAGATAGTGCGAGATTTGCGATCGATAGTCGAAGCAAGATACATACGAACTACAGAAACCTCAAGGTTGCTGTGCAAATAATGACTAGGTATCAAAGTCAGGACTTGTGAGATACACTGCCTATGACTTTCTATTTGGGCAAAATCCAAGTCTGCGTTGCAATCTTTTTCACGTCTAATGAGTTTGTGGACACAAAAGCTCACAGCTTCAGCAGTGGTTGTTCTACACTGTTTGCAGATACGATGCACGCTTATCGTAGCTTTTGCAAATCCAAACGCCATCCCAACTTTTGAAAGATGTGCTCTGGTAGATGCATCAATACTACGATGAAAATCAATAACACTTGCATGCGCTCTAGTCGGAAAATGTTGAAAAACTGCAGCGGAAACGAAGTCATCACAATTTTCGTAAAAAACAACCAGAGTATCACCAGAAGTAGAAGAAGTAGAAAAACTACTATCAATAGCGTCAAAATTGTCGCATAATGACGAAGGCTCTCCAATTTTCGTTCTCAGAAAACGTATGTTGGGCTTTCTACAAAAGGTCACACGTAGAAAAAGCATTACTTCATCCAAAGTGAAGGCCTTGCCCACTTCAAGATCAAGCGTTTTTGAGTTCTTCAGATTAACAGAATGTAAGTCTTCCGTTGGAGTACCATCAGTTGGTTGGTCAGTAAAAACCAGAGTGCCTCCTTCGGTAAAGAACGCACGATCAAATATGCGAGGCAATGATTTGACTCCGTCATAATTGGTGGCAGAAACCACAAAGCAGTTTCTAAGGCATCTTTCTATCCGTCTTCTAACAGACTGCACGAGTTCACGCGAGGGTTCTTCTGTTTTAGTCGGAATTCCCATTGCAAGTCGTTCGGCGTAAACACAAGTGAAAACTCCACAGCTAGACCCATCTCTTTGCTCATGAACGAAGTCTCTACCAGCAACTCGAACTTCCTGTAGAGGTAAATCGGTCATCTGTTTCCACATTTTCCGAATCGATGGTTCATCTTCTTGCAGTACAGTTGGAGAATATCCGTACTTATAAGCATAAGAATCATAAACAGTCACAGTAGACAATAACATGTCACATACAGCCAAACCCCAATGTGTTCCACCTCGCATATGAACAGGTAAATAGCAAATTCGCGATCTTAACGGAAAATCCAGAATTGTAAAAGTAGGAGATGTTTGAGATAGCATCGGATCGATCACAATAATATCCGTATTACGAGTCACGTACAACAGAAATGCGTATATAACCTCATCTCCAAGCCATTCGTCACCTCTCAATGTGTCGAGCGCAGATTCACATAGTTGACATGGCTTTCGATTTCCACTGTGCAAAACTTGCGCTTTTACATGAGTGCTCGAGGAACTCTAAAACACGACTATGTTTCTGCGATGTAAATTGAAACGTGAAGAGCCTAAACAAACTTTAAAAACAGTAGAAACCATTAAAAATCAAAACTTTTTTCATTCGAAAAGCAGTGTGCATAATGTGGGTAATGTAACTGTTAACAAGGCTATTAAAAAACAAAAAA